ACCACCCCTGCCATGAGGGGCCTGGAGGGGTAGCTGTGGGGTCCTGGAGGGGTAGCTGTGGGGGCCTGGAGGGGTAGCTGTGGGGGCCTGGGCACTGCTCGAGGGACAGACTGTCCTGTTTGGGTTTACTTCCCTGCAAGACAGTGAAAATATCTCTGGGGATCAGGGGAATTGATTTCTGAATAACTTTTAATAAAAGCCTTTGTCTAGGAAAAGCTTCTTTCCTTTTTCCATCTTTAGAAATAAGGAAATATGTCCTACAGCCAGATTCACCAAAAACTGGAAGACCCTGAGTAGGCAGAGCAGTGCTGGCTTCTGACTAGAGGTGTTCTGCAGTTGCTGGAGAGTTCATGCCTCACGACGGGGAGATGACTGGCTTTTTCAGAAAATTTAATCAATTCTGAATCTAAAATTATGGGGTAGGTGCCACAAAGATTGACTGATTGGAAGCTCCTCTACCTGGGGGCAATTGTCATTGCTCAAGTCTGTCATTATTCACAGAGTCACGAAGACAGACTCATCAATTAGTAGATGAGGGATGAGCGAGATCAGCCCAGAGAGCAAAACCGGTTTTGTAGGTTGTTCCTTGTGCAATTAATGTATTCTGCTGAAAGCTGTGAAGTTTGTAAGAAACCCAATGGAAGTGTTGCTTTCTGGTAGGATTTATTAAAGCTTGGTATACAGATCTCTGTAAACCAGCTTGTCTAACCTAAGCATGCCTGCTTAGGAGGGACTGGGCAGAACACGGAGAGGTCCCAGAGCTGCACTTGCCAGCTGCATGAGGCTGCTGCAGGGAACACATGAACACTGGGTTCTATTCTGGAGGTTTTTGAAAAACCAGCTTTTCCCCTTTATTTCTATCTTCCTCTGCAGCTTTGCCTTTTTTACCACTAGATGCCTTGGGGGAATAATAATTTCTTGGTGTCCATGTCTTTGATTCTTCTTTCCTTAGCTTGTTTCATGTCCAGCTACTCATCGCTGTGCCCAATCCACAAATCTTTCTGCTGTCTTTTCTTTTTGGCTGTATTTTTCCCCTGTCAGCCTCAGTCTTTTGGACAACTGTCATTTCTTGTCCTCCTCCTGGGACTCCTTGGCCTGATGTGCTCTCCCCTGGCTGGCTGCACTCAGCTGCCTCTCGTGTGGCCACTCCTGGGTCTGGTTTGGTCACACCAACATCTTCCCTGTGTTCTGTAGCACACATGTAACGTGCCACTGCAGGCTTGCATTTTACCAGCAGTGTATTTTTGGAGTGAAATTGCATTCTTTTGCTTTTCTCAGTTGAACTTTGGTGATGTTTTACTGCCAAAACTGCAGTCTGGAGAGGAGAGGAGAGCAAAGGTGCTTCATAAATGGTTTTTGGGTTTTGCAAACTTTTGCATCTAAAAAAACTTCAGGGCTGGGAACTAAAGTGTTTTCTGGGATGTTTGGGGCTTTTTCTCAGCTAGGTTTTCAGTTAGATGTATTCTGTTTCAGAGAAGTTTCAGAGAATTGAGACTCCACTACTCCACTAAAAAAAATCCCAGAATTGAATTGTAAGTTGGCTGCTGTGTGGAGTTGGTACTTCTGCAGTGTCTTGTTTGGCTGTGCTCTGTGGAGCCTTTCCCCTGGTGAGCTCTGTGCCCAGCTGAATCTTCCAGCAAGGAAAAGCCCTTCCCTTGTGCCCGCTGATCTGCAGTCAGCCCATCTGGTACAGAGCTGGAGTCAAGTACCTGGGACACCTTCCAGTTCTATTAGTTGTCAGATGCCCTCTGTGGAGCAGCAGTGACTGGAGCAGTGA